GGGTCGTGCCATGTCCTGGCACAGACCTCTACAATGTGTTATGTCCCAACTATCAAGAAACATGTGGGTAGTCCGGCTGATTGCACAATACCACACCGTCGGGTTGATCAGAGGACCGCGCTTGCGCAGCGCGCGCGGATATCTGGCCTTGTAGCATTCTGTGAAGATTATTGTCACAAGACCTTGTGTATCCTTTTCCTCTTGACTTGTTTGACCTTACAATGTTTAACACAATGCTGAAGTCACAAGAACCTCAATGCTACAACCCAGCAACACACCTCCGTTGGGTGCGTTCACCCTCCAATGCACCGGCCCGGCTGTCACCACACAGCAAAGCCATACGATGCAGCATGCAAAGGGGACCAACCCGAAAGACGGTCCGGCGGGCGCTATTCCGGGACCGCCGTACGCGAAACTACGATGTACGACCCTCCCAGGGCCCCCTGTCGCCGCACGGGCCATTCTTGCTGCCCAGCGGGAGGCCGCGCCATTGCGAAGCTCACACGAAAGCTCCGCAACGGGCCCCAACACTTCAGTACCCCCAGCCCGCGTCCCCAAGGGGCAGCAGACCGCGACCACCGGGCGTGGCGCACTCGCGTCCGTGCGGCTTGGCGGGTTTGTCTGGCAACGCGGCACGGGGACTCGGTCGGCGATGTCTAGAGAGGGGGGGGCCAACAGGGAGGGGGCTCTCCTGCGCTGCCCCCCCAGCGGCGTGTGGCGGGGATGGTGGAGGCAGGCGCTCGAGGAGGGCCTGCAGCGGACGGGGTCCACGACGGTGGACCTCACCTTCCAGGTGCGCCCGCGATTCTCGCCGGAGGACGCTTCGGGGGTCGACGGACTGAATGCCCATCCGCGCGACACGTCAATTTGCTCTGCATGGGCCAATGTCCGCGCGCCTTGGAGTTTGATGGTAACCTGCCGCCTGCCGCGGTGCGCCGTGTGTGCGATGGCGGCGATGTCTGGCGCGAGCGGGGCTGCAGTTGGGCCCCCCGACAGCTTCTGAGGGGAAGGTCCTCCCCCCCACCTCCACTCATGAAAAGGCGCGGCTAAAGTTCTCCCAGGCTGGCCCGCCGTGCCGCGAGCTTCCGCTTTAACTGTAGTTGCTCTTTTTTTGGGGCGGAACAACGCCTTTGCGCCTTTCAGGAGATGTTGGGCGCGTTGGGAAATGTTCGCAAGCAGACCGTGACACCGACGGTGCGTGATTGTTGCCCTGGCCGGCGCATACGAGTCCGCGGGAGGCGCGTTGTCCCGCGGGTGGGTGGGTGGGTGGGGGGGTGGCACTGTGGCGCAGGATTCCTTGCTCCAGCGTGTCGGAGTGGCGTTGAAGGGGGCGTTGCCACCCGGGCACCAACGGCGAAGCGCGACAGCCCACCCGTCCGCCCACCCGCCCTATTCACAGCGTGTGCAACCGTTCACGATTCTGCTCCTGTGCGCCCAGCTGGTGCCCTCTTGCCTGCGGGGAGGGAGAAGACGGTCGAGTCAGGCTCCTTAGAGAGCATCTGGGTTGCATATTGCATGACATGTTGCTGTCCGGTTCACAAGGCGGTCACTTGCAGGGTAGCATTGTCTGCTGAGACACAATTTGCGTAAAGCGTATTGTCCGCTGAGTTTAAACCTCGCCATGGCAAAGCCCTCTCCAAGAGGTGTGGTGCCGCTTTCTTGCAGCCCAAACCAGATCGAAGAAAGAAAAGTACATAGAATTGTATTCTTGCGGCATGGTTCTCATTGTCCATATACACCACCACCCAACTGCCAGCCAGGACCACATTATCGTATCAGTAGACAATGTCTAGGTGGTGGCTGGCGGTGTTGGGCAGTTGGGTGAGCAGAGTGGGCGCCACGAAGCAAACCGTCCTGGTTGTGGATGCAGGGTGCGAATGCTGGCAGACACAGTCTGAGGGTGTGCGCAGATATTAAAGTCACGTGCATGGCAAACAGGAGACACAGATCCAGCAGTGATGACTGCAAATTTGTTTGCCTGGACATCTGTCAGACATTTGGCTCTGGGTGCACACATTCTCGTTGTGCCTGTGGAATGTGCTCCTAGTGGCCTCTTCACATCATGGTTATGGGAGCATGATACCCACATGGCAGTACAGTAGAGCATGCGAAGAGTTCGGTACAGTAAGTATCCTAGAGTGCAATAGAACGCTGGTCAGACAACACACAGGGCCAGTTTGTGGGAGAGTGAATCAAGAAATGCAAGTCATGGAAGCAGGGATGAGTAGTGTGCTGTCTGTGTTTGCAGGATGGAAAATTGACAGGCTCTGGTATTGATGACGAAGGGTGCTTTTCACTGCAAGGCGATTACAGTGCCAACACGTGCCACGCTATTCAGCAAGCAGAGGGCCGAAAGCTCATCTACGATGGTATTTTTGGAATCGTTACTGAGGGCAACATGGCTGGCCATGTTCAGCTGTCAGGTACCCTCGCCATAGAGGGACATCAAGACGCCTTGAGTTTTCACTTGGTGTCCGATGAACAGGTTTGTTCAGATCTAGATGCAGACTGCCAAAACAAAGCGCAAGGATCAAGTGCAGTGGTCGTGGACCCTCCTGGGGGTGGGTGGGAAGGCTATTGGAAGCTGAACGTGGCAACAGGAGGCCCTCGAGGAGAATTGGAACATGTAGGAAAGACACAGTGCCGAATGTGTTTCCAGGATGGTGTGATGGTGGGTCACGGTGATGATGAAGTGGGAGCTTTTACCATGGACGGCGTGTACGACCCCAAAAAACAGACATGCAGGTGGACAAAGCAATATGTCGGTCAACATGCTGTTGAGTATGAGGGGAAACTCACCCTCATTTCGAGGGGCTTTCAGACTGGGCATGTATCAATAGATGGCACATGGACAATACCTGGATGCAACTGCGGTTCGTTCACGTTGGTTTCAAGGAAGAAATACCAACCACGGGATGAAAGTGAATCGCGACGGGAGCCTGAACCCAGGCCGTCGGCAGACCAAGCCCAAGACGGTTCTGACGCTGTTGAGTCCTTACGGGAGCCCAGGGAGCCTCGTGCTGCACATGTGGAGCGGTGCTCAATTTGTTTATGCAACACAAGAAACAGCGTCTTTTTGTGGTGCGGTCACCAGGTCGCTTGCATCGACTGTGCAGCCATTCTGCACTCGAGTGGACAACCGTGCCCTGTGTGTCGACAATCCATAGGAAAGGTTCAGCGTGTATATTTCTGAATGAGAGCAGCGATAGTGCGTGAATGCGTGTGTTGTGGTGGCGGTGGGGGGCGGGGGAAGATGTACATATCGATGTTTGGGGGCGGTTGGTCTTGCTATGTAAACAGTGGATGGTTGACTGGCGAAGGATTCGTGCGTGGATTGACTATGATGCCTGCCTGCCTCAATGAGTCCACATTGTTCAGTACCCTGAAGGAACCCACAGTTCAAATGCCAGTGGCTGTGCAGTGGGGGACACCGTGCATGCCAGCCCAAACGCCCCAATCCAGACCAGTACCATCCGCAGCCACAACCGCAGCCAGCTGCCAGCGCTTCCGCCGGGGCTCAAGACCACTGCCGCTATTTCAGCAAACGTACCATGCTTTTCGTTCCTTACCACTTCATATCGCATTTAGTACTTTAATGCAGAGCATCAGCAACACAGGTGGAGGCGGATTCGCTCCAATGTGGTGACCCTTGCTGACCCTTCACCGTTTACATGGGCGCGTGTATTGGCCCTTTGCATGCCGGTCAGTGGACAAAAGTAATGTGCTGGTCAAAATATGGTCTGCCTCCGCTGCGAATGTGTCCCCAGGCAGCGCATTTGCCAGTAGGCGTGTTTGACCGTGTGGTGAGCCGCAAGGCGAGATGGATCGGCAGCCAGCACCAAGCCAAGGTGCTGCTTACGAACATGGTGGCATGTCGGCGCAAGGAAACAGGAACCGCAGCAGTCATTGCTGTGCGAGTGGGCCACGAGCGCAGCCATTGACTGCTTGCCGTCGCCTTTTCGGGTACACCACATAAAGGGCGGGCATGGATATGATGGTCAAGCGAACTCGTTGGCAAGGTGGAGGTAGGGGTGTGGAAGCGGGGCTCGACACGACAGAAGAAAAGGACAGTTGTGCGGCAAGGTTTTTGTGTGGACAAGGGCCGCCTCTGGGGTTCTACCATGGCGCCCGGTGACCTAATGTCCTCACAGCGCTCTTCTACAGGCTGCCCTTCTGTTGGGGAAAATGCAGTTGGCCGCACATGCGAAGATGGCCACCGGACTCGACGTGCGGATACTTCTGCGAACTCATCTTCGCTTTGGCGCGAGTAGAGGTGGACGCTGATGGAAGGCATTGTTGACGTTATGCAATTAGTCTTCGTACAATGCAAAACAGCAACGCACATTGCTGTGCAATGGCTACAAGAGTGCTGGACGGGGTTCTACACCAGGTAGTTCAGAAGCCACTAGCAAGTGACGTCACAAATCGTTGCTGGCCCCTGGAGGCCAGCAGCTGGCCGCCATATCAAGGTCCCAGCCTGTCTGATGCGCTGGAGCGCAAATGCAGCTCATCAAGAACGTTGCACTGTGCCCTGTCGGAGCATTCTTGACAGACGTAACTCTGGGTTCCGTGGGCTGAAGGCATCTGATCTTACAGGAAGCTGGACCCAGATAACTCTGACGACAAGGACAAAATACCTTACCATCCAGGTTTGGCCTCCACATCTCGGCCCAGTAGAGTAGGTTATATGCACGCAAACACACGGTGGATTGCTTGCCCCAAAATATACAGAGATTGGCGCAGGGGTGGCAAGGCTATGACACCTCCCCACTTGCACGTTCTCTTTGGCCCGCACACATGTGTTCTGCGTCATGAGTTGCGTCGCTGAAAAGATGCGGAGCCGGTCGAGTCGCAAAACGGACGGCATCCAAACGCCTGTCCATTCTGTGCGCTGTGTGGAGGAGCGCAGCCCCAACGTTTCGAGGCAAAACCGTCGTGAAATGGGCCAAGGCACCAGATGAAGCAGCGCCTGCTTTTGGAACACTCTCAGAGGCACGGCTTCAACACCCCCTACGGCATTTGCTGGAACGGCTGACAGATAGCGACGAGCCCCTGCGCTTGCGGCCTCTCGTTCTTGCTGTGTGAGAAACTGGAACAGTACACAAGCACACACACGTTCGTCAACCATGAACCTTCCACTACCCAAACATCGAGCACCACTGTCTGTGCACATGAAGCTAAAAACAGCCGTGTCACATGGTTTAGCACCAGGTTGCCAGTGGTGAGATTTGTGCTTCGTTTAGCTTTGTCCTTCCCTGTCGATTGGGTAGCTGCAATGTTCCATCGATAAGGGCTGGGTATTCAAATTGTAGACACGTCGACACCAGTTGAGGACATGGCAACGTCGAACACAGAAGTTGCAAGACAGGGCAACGAGCTTGGCATTCTCACCAGTATCTGCCAGGTCGTCCTCATGGTTTTCAGGCTGACAGTCGTTGCTCATTGCCAGAGCATGCTCGTGAAGGCGATCTGAGAAGCCAAGTTCCGACGACTCACAGCCGGTGCCCTGCACAAACGACGTGGCGCCCACTTTCTGTCCAGCCTGGAAGGTCTTGCAGCGATAACAACGTGGGCTACATTCTCGCCAGCCATATGCCCACACTGCACACCCACTCAACAACACCCCTCTGCTTTTACAGGGGTGAGTAGTCATTCAAACCCACAATGAAAACTGTCAAAAGAGTTATGTCAGCACTTGCCTGTTGATTCACTCGCAAATGCTACCAACGCACTTTACGCAGTGCACTGAGCAGCCTGTCAAACTTGCTGCTTCAGTCGAGCTTGGAGGGAGCCAAACTCGCTTGCTTTGTCCAGTCACAGTGTATTCCCTCTTTGCACGCCCCGTACACCATGTCAAGCAGAGCAAAGACTCATTTATTATTCAAAAACTTGGATCCATGCAGGAGGCAAGCTACCTGGCTTTTATGTTGCCCACTGATGGCATCGCCACTGGGTGGTGGTGGTGACTGGAAGGAACCATCATTCTGAGCCACAGACTTCGGGCTTTCGCTGTTCTCCTCTGAGTGGCTGGATCTTTCACTACAGGCAGAGTCTTTCAAATCTGGCACAGCTCCAGCCTCATCATCAGAGCGTGACATGTTCACTGTGCCCCCACCGCTGGTATTGCTTTGATCTGAGTTCCTTGCGAGCGTACTGTTCGCCGGTTGAAGGGCCCGGCTTGCAGATCCACTGTCCACACCTGTGTGGGAAACATAATTAGCGGAACCACAAATGGTGGGAGAACTTGTACATCCAGGAATTTCTGGGTTGCATAAACTTTGTGCTGGACGATGGTTCAGCGAAGCATGCATGGAGAGCAAAGTCAGCTCTCAACATACGCATTCAACCCAGAGCATATTGTTATCGAGTTCAACAAAGTCACAAAGTGAATGTCTGCATTTATTTGTGCAGTTACAGCTCCAAGCAGGGATGTATTGCATTGTCCAGCACTGATATGCATGCAGAAGGATCATAGCTGCTGTATGCCACAGAACCTTGCACATTGCCAGGATACACTGGTCTGCATCTGTCCAGTCCAGTCTGTGCAATGAGCTCCCCAGGTGAACGGAACAGCCAGAAAAAGATGTTACCACAAAGTCGATCCCAAACACATATGCACAATGTAGCACAAATCAGATGCTGACATATCCCCTTTCACTGTCTCCCTGTTTGCAAATAACAATTCAGCAAGGTCTACATCTCCTATGCATTCTCCAACAAAGTAGGGTGCTATTTTTCTGTGTCATCATAGTGTATATGACTGATAAACCCACAACTGCAAATGAAGACGACAACTATTGCTGCTGTGGAGCACAGATCTAAATTCTTGGCCAAAAACAGCAGCCAAAAAGAAGCACAGTCTGCACTTGGAGCCATACAAACTGTGAAAATGTGTCCCACTGACTTCCACAACAAAGCTGCAACAACATATGCAGGGCTGGACATACACAACTGCACAGCAAGCCAGTTCATCCCATGCACCCCACTCATCCCCCTGGTCTGCCTTGCTCACAGGGCCAAGCCAAGCATAGCACTATCATATGACTTGCACAAGAGATAGACAGCAACTGGAGCTGCGCACCTGTGACAATGGTGAGCGCAGGCTGTGGTGCAGGCATGGACACACGTGGATCCGATTGACGAGAGTTGGGTTGCTGATTTGCACCCACAACAAGCGGCATCTGCTGGAGGCACAACAGCAAACCCATCATGACCATGTAAGCAATTGGAGTGCTGTGCAACTTGTTGACTAAGTGAGCAAGGATCGACACAGCCGCAAAACACAGCTCGTCAGAGAAGCATGAAGGGATGTTCGTGCATGCCTGGAAGTGCGCATGCACTGCACAAGAGCACCGGGAACTCCACGTGGCATCCTCCCAAGTCCCTGTGCATTGCAGCCACTGGGGCCACCCACACTGTCATATGCCACTTGGGACTGATGGCGAAAGGGTTCACGCTCATGCTATCATGTTGACGTAGCAGTGCATGCAATGCCTCTTCAGCCCTGCATCTGGGCAGACCTACAATTTCATGCTCCAAGCGCCAATATCCAAACAACCCCAAGCACGCTGGCCCACCTTTGCTCGCAGCAGTGACAGGTTCGTTTCTGCATCGGACAAGGCGTCATCCACCTGTTGCACAGTTGCGTGAACAGATGTGTCCTGCACAGCATTGCCGTCAGAGGCAGACGCCACAAGCCTTCGATGCCCCAGCCTCTGGTCCTCCCTCAGGTCCGAACCATGGTGCCTTGCACTCTGCCCCTGCTGCCCCGGCTGTTCCAAGTGCCTGTGCGGGCTCCACTCGGGGGGAGGGCAAACGCCCTGTGCACCTGGCCTGGAGTCTTGTCCCTGCTGCATGGCGGTGGGTGGAGGAATCCCAGCCACATACGAGTGAATCGCCACCAACTGCTGGTGCAGGGTGTAGGTGGATATGTAGGTGGGCCCCTCTGCAAGGATAGCATTGTAGACAAAGGGCACCGTTGGCCCCAAAGGCTGGGTGTGGTTGTCAATGTTCACCACCCCGTTCCTCATAGCAGAGATAGCGGAAGTCGCAGGGGCATCGCAGGGTCCTGAGGCACCTGCCTCTGACGCCACCCTTCTACACCTCGCTGCTGAATTGGCTGGCGTCAGTACACCTGCCGAAACTGATGGTGAATTTTTGTCAATTCCAAGGGCAGCACCCTGCGATGCAATGGTGCTGCAAGGCGGCTCGGCTGCTGAACAGTCTTGCGCAGCATCCTCGTTAACGACCTCACTGCCACTCCCTGCTGCAGGTTCCAGTTGTGCCTGTGCTGTTGCTGTACCGTGCACACCCCCACTGACAGCCACATCAGCATTTGTCCGCCCATATGCCGACTGCACGGGCTCTGACAGCGTGCAAGGATGCTGGACGTCTGCCTCCACCTCCTGGTTATTCTCATCGCCGGGTGTTCGCTGCGAAATGGTGTGGCCGGCTCCTCGTTCTCCAGACACCTCGAGATCGAGCCCAATACTGGAGGGGGCAGAGCTCTGGCCCCTGTGCTGGCCATTCACAGACATGTTCCTCCCACTCTGCACAGATGGCTGGTGCTGCTGTCGGCCCAGTGGACTGTCGCAGCGAGCTTCCAGGAACGAGCCATGACTCACAGAAGGCATCCGTGGGCTCCTGGGGCTGACAACATCCCTTTGGAAGGTCTGGGGAAGAGTTGAGCTGTGACGCCGGTCTGCAGGGAGGGGTTGAGATGGACCAGGACCTCCGCCAGCAGACACCTGTATGGTTGTCAACAACTCTTTTCAGTAATCATGCATGCACAGATGCGGTCGTGTGGTCTGCTTCAATGCCACTGAAATTCCAGGCAACTTGGGGGCAGGCCCTCCGTGAACCCTGACCACCACCCATGATCCTCACAGTTTGTTGCTATCATCGACACAGGATGAACAACACAGGCTGTTTGGTGCCTGGGCCACATGCACCAGGCCGTCTGTGGATTTGCAGCTTGACAATGCAGGCTTCTGCAGACCTTGCATCATCCCAGGTGGCTTGTTGTAGACCGTCAACAGTTTGATGCCATCTAAGAACCGCTTGCCACTTGGGAACACCATGCAAGACAACAGCTGTCTAAAACAAATGCAGGCAGTGTGCACATTCACCAACAAAGCCCACAGGCACATAGGATCGATGCTGTCTCACCCTCTCATGGGGGGTTCCATGTTGTACAGACCGCCTTGGCAGAAGTCCATTGTGCATCTCGTGCAATGGTGCCGAATGGGCTCCTGCTGTCCCTGATGCTGTGCTATTGGCAGGACGTGTGGGATGTGAGGAACGTGCATGGGGCCGCCTCATGGATCTAGCTGGCCGACCGGGAGCTGGAGACACTGAGCACTCCTCGGCTGGGTCACAAACAACACGAGGGTCACCAAATTGTTATTCCCAATAAAGGACAAGTACAACAGACACAGACCGGGCAATCTCCCTCCTGATCAAAAATTTACCGGAGACTCTTTTACTCACAGCAAAAGATCATGCGGTCATCTCCAAACCTGACAGGACCAACATGCGACATAGGCAGCACCACGAAACTGTGTCAATCTTTACACGTGGGAAAGAACGTGATAGAGGTGTCCGAAGGCTGAAACCCTACGAGGCTTGAAGCCTGAAGTACTGGAAGCAGAACCCTAACCTCCACAAGTACCCCTGGCCGAGGCCCATCTTCGCTGCCCACGCCCCAGCTGAGAGGTGGCGCTCAGGCGGGCGTGAGCGAGAGGATGGTACCCAAGGCAACGGCATGCGCCTGCCTGATAATGCTGTGCATCCAAGCTGGGCTCTCTCCCCCCAACCCGCTCCGCCCACGGAGCCAACAATCCCCCGTTCGCCTCTTTTGGGGGTGTGGCAACGTGGGCACGGATGCAGGCAGCATGCCCCGACCCCCCGCCCCAGGGCGAGACTCACCGTTCGCCTCAGCCGCTGAGAACGCGCTCTCGCCCTCCAGAGAGCGAGAAGAAAATGCGGCCGATCCGGCAGCCAGCACGCCCTCGTAGGACACGGCGGCGGAGTGCTGGCTCCGAGCGGCCCTCTGGGGAAAAAGCGGCGAAGACAGGAACGTTCTCAGGGCCACATATCAGCACAAACGGCAAGCAGAAGGCGCCCTACCGTGAGTGGGGGGGGTGTGCCTGGCAGCGGGCGCGCCAGCTCACCGGGCTGTGGCCCTCTGAGTTGTGGGACACATCCTGGCCGCTCTCCCCCAGGGAATTGACGCCGTCCGGGCCAGATAGGGCTTCGGACAAGGCGCTGTGGACAACGCCCGCCGCGGCCATACCGCCGCAAGAAAGCGCAGCCAACCGGTTCCCGGGGGTACTCGCTGGGAGGCCTGGGCTGCTCGTGGGGAAAGGGCGAGACGACGCGGCGCTGGCGAGCCCCGCTGGGCAGCTTCCGCGCTCGGCCTCCCTAGGAAAAGGCACGTCGGCAGCAACTCGCCAGCTTGTTGACCAGCAACGGCAAATAAGAGGATTTGCAATTAAAAATCACGAAATGTGGTGAGTGAACAAGGACGGGCCCGAAGCTCCGTCGTTTGTTTTCCATCGCGCAAACAGCAGGAAATGTTATATTCAAATTCACAACATTGTGAACACCCAAAACACGCCAGGCACAGTGGACGAATGCTCAAGGCGTATGGCCTGAGGCCTCAGGGTGTTGCTCAATTCCTTTTGACCTTTTTCGACTTTGGTTTCTCTCAGCGGTCTCTTCACAAATGTCCTTTCATCTTGTTCAGTAACAGTCCAGATGACTTCTTCCACAAATGCTTCCTTTTGTGGGCTCGCTGGGAGATGGACTTTTGCGACTCCTCGTTGCTTCTTGTGCCAGCGATGCGTTCACTGATTGGTAGAGTTTGGCATACTGTCCCGCTGCCGGAGAAGGAGCAAGAAGTTTCTGCGTGGCATCCGACTCACACACAGCCGCCCGGGGCGCGGACTGCACATGGACACAACAGAAAGGAACGCCCGGCAAGATTCTGCTCATGATGCTGCATTATTCAATCATCCCGCCAAGTTCAAGTCCATTTGGTCCGTGAACAAGACCTGCGCCTTGGGCCCTTCACGGCACACACAGGCAGAGGCGCCAGCCCATCGTCGTCGGGCCCCCTTTCTCGCGCGCTCCAGCGACTTGAACCGTGCGCGTTTTTGTGTGCTGCGCATCTGCGCCGCCTGTGTGGCCACACATGGCGGACATGCTTGAAGCCGGGACACAGGAGATTCTCCGCCATGCCGTCAAGGGCGCCGAACAGACAACCGAGTCCGCGCAGCGCTCCCTGCAGGTAGCGACGCGACTGCGGCGAGCGGCGGCTAGAAACCGCGGGAATGCGATCCTTGGGGAAACGTACTTCCGCTGGACTGAAGCAGCGCGCTGCGCGAGCGGCGATGGCTGTTGAGGACATGGGTTTTGTCGACAGCGTCGCGGCAGCTGCTCGACGTGGGGATGTGAATGGCAACCAGCTGCACATCCGGCGGAAACACCTCTGCGCGGGGGATGAGATTTTCTCCCTTTTTTTTGAGGATTTTTGCTTGGGAGTTGTCCTTATTCGCAATTTCCCGTTCGCGGCTCCCGTGCGGCCCACGGCAGTTGCCGGGTAGCAGAGTCGTTGCAGCAGAAAGAGAATGGGTCAGTGAATGGACACCCCACTGCAGGGCACAGATTTTTGCGAGGCTCTTGTACATGCTATGAAATTTGGTGTGGATGTCTCCGTTTGGAATGTTGCAGCTGCAGTGAATCATGTGAATCACAGAGCGCACTGCTGTCAGTTGTGTTGGGGCGCCGCAGCGGCAGCGGTTGCTAGCCTGGCTCGGGTTCTGGCGGCTTATTCGTTGTCCTTGCTGGTGTGTTGGGAGCAGATTGTCAATCAAACCAAGGAGGTCCAAGCAGCCACCCTGGAAAGCCTGAAGTCGCAAGGAGAGCAGATGAGAAGGATACATGGAAACATACAGAATGTGAGAGGTTTGTTTTCCATCCAAGCCGACGCCAGTGCAGTCAGCGAAGGGATTTGAGAGTCTGCCAACGTGCTGAAGTTGAAAGGACTTTCCATGTCCGCTGGGATTTGCAGATGCAGTGTAAATGGACGAGCTGCCATGATCTATGCGATAGAATATTCCCGTCTTTGCGCTCGCAGGTTAAGGAGGGCGTGGATGAAGCTGAAATGGTACTGGACTCCATGGTGTGCTGCGGGTGCTTTGGCACAAAGGCTAAGGCAAAATCCAATGTCAAGAAAACTGCACGGTGCGGTGCTGCTGGACTGTGCACGTCCCAAAGTGTGTGTACAGGTTGATGCCACCATGAATCTTGGATGAGATTCTGCTTCTCACTGTTGGCTCTTGGAGCAGTTTGGCGGCTTTACGCAAGCTCATGTTGTGCCTGAACCTTGCAATTCTTTCAGTTGCTTGGGCTTTGGCATTTGTGGCGATCGCATTTTGGACATACTGCGTGCATAGCATTACCTTGCAGGTGCAAGGGTTGTTTTTTATCAGTATGCAACGCATGTAGTCAATGGATTGCATCTGCAGGATTGCTGCATCTGCAAGAAAGTTGGTGTGGCAGGACAGCTGTTGCTGTTGAGGGAAGGAGAACTTGCTGAAGAATGGTGTAAGGAAGCACACATCTCCAAGTCATGGCTGGACTCCTGTTCTTCGTGATGCCATTTTCGACTGCCAGGTGTTGACCACAGGAGGATATGCTGCCAACAACAAAACTCACATTGCTGTTGTTTGTGATTCCAGAGTCTTTGCCCAAACGAATGCAGGTGGCGGCAACAGGAAGCCTGCAGATAGTGGTCAGAAGGTGAGTGTCAGTGGTATCAATGTCACTGAAGAATATATGCAACAGACTTACCTGATAAGCCTATGCTCTTGTAGCGGCATGCAGCAATGGCAGCAGAGTACAGAGGCTGTGTGCTGGCATTGTATCCCTATGGCCATTTCAGAAGGTGCATTTCTGCTGTGTTTGCGGACAGTTCTTCAAACAGTTTGCATTGAACTGGTTGATTGACTGATCTTCAGTGCAGTGCATGACAGTAGCATCTTGGGAAACTGCATTGCTCTATTGGTATGACATTCCTGTGGCTTTGGCAGGAGGAGAGCAAGGAAATCAGACTGCAGGGCCCAAGGCCTGGAACGCAGGGCGCTGCAGAGAATGGTCCATATGGTGGGTATGGGCACTATATTTGGGGTTGTACCAGTGGCCTGGAGTCTGTTCGTTGGGTGGGCTGCCTGTCGTGAATTGCCCCATACTCTATGAAGTCTTGCGGCATGGAACTAAGAAGAATCAGGAGGCCGATCATCTGCAAGCTGCAGACAGAGGTTTCCTCTTGATTGGGTGAATGCATCGTTGCAAGCAACAAGCAGGTTACCAGCACATTGGCTATTTGTTACAATCCAGATTATGGCGGCTTCAAATTGGTAGTCCACAAGAACATAATGAACAGTGCAAACAATGAAAACCAACAACCTCCATGGACAAGAAAGCGCAGCACGCCCCCCCCCCCCTAGCAACACATGGCCTAGGGATGCCTGCCGAGTTTTTGCTATGTGAACTCTGCCCTCCTCAGTAGCATGGCTGAGGATCGTGTTGGAGGGAAAGGTTGTCTGGCGTGTCTGAGTTGGGTTTATGACATTCGGGAAGTCTTGCATCACTGGAACATTATCTGTGTACATCTGGGTGGTTATCTTGTGATAGCTGCATCACATCTGTTGCAAGTTCTGTTGCAAGGATGCAACTTCTCTTGCAAGGTTCCAACTTTTGTTGCAAGCTTTTAACACCCCTAAGCCACAGATGTGCATCATATGCTGATATAGGCAAATGGATGTTGGCATGCTGTACCGCACTGCCGAGCTGTGCACATCACGTCAGTGGCTGTATCACTGATTTCTTGTTTTTGCATTGCAGCCGACGAGTATGGTGTCATCCATGACCATAAGGAGAAGCAAGACAACTATTTGGACCAGATTAGTGAAGCTTTGGATGTCATCAAAGATGGGGCCAGGGTATGCAGGCTTGTCACATCTTGTTGCCTGATGTCGTGCAGCCAGCTGCCACGAAGTATCTATGTTGCCTATCAATGTTTGGTCTTTATCTTGCACACTAACTGCGTACAAGCAATATTGAATTTGAATTTGCAGGCATGATGCTATGTTGCTATGAGTCATTATGTGCAGTGCATCCAGTTTAGCTCCAAGTTCAGAAGCATTTAGTGCATTGGAGTGTTCATTCTCACTGTGAATCTGCCTGGTCTGTTGGCGCTGTGCAGCCACGGTTGGTAAGTGTTCATCGCAAATGCAGGGACAGTCGCAGTACATATGTGCTCAAGTTTCACTACAAGGAGAAGGAAGAAAACTTGTGTGCAGTTGTATGTGCATTGTTGTCAGTGTTGCCTGTGCCGTCCTTGGCAACCAATTGCACTTTGAATACCTTGCCATTTTAGGGCAGGATAAAGGTGCTGTACTTGCTTATGCCCAGCTTTGGTGCCCTAGCTGTGCAACGGTGCCTCAATCAATGGGCCTTAGTGGTAGCTCGAGTGTGCAGCTCTGAGAGACACAATGGTACTCACAAATAACTGCAGGTGTCTTCTGGCCATGCATGGCCAGGATCAACATTGTTCTATGCTGTCCAATTGTTCTTCTTGGAGTCTACTAAAAGCCAAGTGGGACAGCATTGAAGGGATTCTCACACATCTTTGGTTGTCAATTACTTGCCTGGTGTAGGACTCCTTTCTTCTCTGTAAGGATATCTGTTGCCAGAATGGTGATAGCCGTGTATGTGGGTTAACAAGCCCTGTGCTGGTTGTTGTTGCTGGGTGGTATCACTTGAGTGCATGTAGCGTGTGTTGGTGCCCAGGCGTTCTTGTTGTCTTCATAGTTTTGTCGTGGGTTAAGGCTTCCGCATTGTGGTGCACAGGAGATGGCTGGTGAGGTTGAAAGTCAGAACAAAATGATGGAAGGCCTGGACAAGGGAACTGACAATGCACAAAGCAGGGTTGCTGATGCCCAGGGCCACAAGGTCATTCGCAAACATGCTAAAGGGCTTGCAAGGAAGCTCAAGTAGGGCTGCACAGTGTGTGCCTCTGCTTGGGCAACAGTGAGGCCTGGTGGAAAGCAGTGAGGATAGAGGTGGCTATTGTGAGTGTGGAGGTTATGCAAAGAGCTATGCTGTTGATGACCGCAGGATGTTTGATCAGATATCTGGCTATTTAAATGTGGGAGTTTCTAGTTCAGTAGTTTCTATCCAAGCGGGCGCCTTTTGGGGTTGTGTACCTGACCTGTACCTAGCCACAGAGCAGGCCAGTTTACGATTGTGAAGGAAAGATGGCCAGCAGACAGTAGCGCAGTATCCTGGCCCAGTTTCGTTGACCAAGAAGACTGTGAATCAAGGGTTCGTCGTCCCTTGAGTAGCTTATTGTCACATGGGGCATCTGGCACCAATATCCACAATTGCTACTATCTTTTGCCGTTGTACATTAAACGAGCCTCGCTTCATCTGTGGAATGGTGTGCTTGGGTGTGTAATTATCTGTTGTTGGGTTCCTCATAGCCTTCCAGGATGGGGAACGTTCAATTCTGGGCTGCGAACTGCCCATTTTTCACCAGGCAGTGGGGCCATGTGTGTCATTATATGCATGTTACTACGTGATAAGGTGGGACAGGCAGTGCACGCAAGGCATCACTCCCTGTGTCCCATTGGTCGCTTATTCTGGCAAAAGACAAAGAGGGGGGGGGGGGGGGAAGAGCAAGAGAGCAAGGGCCAAATCCACTGCACAGCAGCACAGGAGCTTCGACCGTTCGTGTATACAAAACAAGAACACTGCATCAGTGTACTCTGCGTTTCACATTGTCCTCAAACGCCAACTCAATCCCCAAGTGATGTGCAGGTGGGAGCACAACAAAACAATTTACGGCCCTTGGTCATTGGGAGCCCCCTTTTCAGCAGCGAGACCGCCCCCGATCGACAATGCCCCACCAAGCCGCAACATCAAAACGATATGCCTGGGCTCTCTCATTGACCTCCTGTCAAGAGTCCAACAATTCCCTTGGGCCACGTTCAAACTCAGTGGGTGGCAGTTTCTGGCAGCATTGGGTGCTGCAAGCAACGGACCTGGCTGCTCCGTACTGTCCAGAACGCCCGGCGGTCAGAAACTCGTTGACTCATGGTCAATCGCATCTCAACTCCGGGTAGCGCGATGACGAATGTGCGTTCGAGCAGGCGCCGCAGAGGGCAGCCTCCTGAAGGAGTGTCTCGAAACGGTTTAGTGGCCGTCTAGAAGGCAAACGGGCAATGGCCTGGGTGCTCAAGTGGGCCGGTGGGCTTCAAACTCGCCCTGTTTCAGCGTGGGTATCAGTGGGAGCCTTGCCAGTGTGCTGATCCGCTGTGCACGTTGCGTGATTGACTTGAACTCGCTGGTGTCGGCTCATGGCGCTGCAGAGCCCGGAATGCGGAGATCTGGGCGCGGGACCCGGTTGCGCTAACCAGTCTGGGATGCTGTAATAGCGCTGGAGCACGACCTTCTCGTCGATCGGTGTCAGTGCAGCTGCCGTACATGTCGCACCCGGCCTGGATTGCAAGGCTGTCCGTTCCCGTTCAGGGTCGTGGTTGACCGTTTGGATGGCGAGACCCGACAGAAGAGCACTGCCTGATATGTCGACAGGAAGAGGACATGGCCCCTTGGCGGCCAGACGTTGCTCGGCACGGCGGTGATCTTGCACCGAGGGGCCGCGAAACCACGCCTGCTGGGCTGCCTGGCAGCCACCAGCATTCGTCTTGGCGGCAACGGAGAGCTCAACACCACCACGCCCTTTGGTAGCACCCTTGAGCCCCGGAATGCCAGCTTGCAGACTTGTTCCATTTCGACCGTGCAAAGCTGCTTTGCAAGCCACTTGTCAGCGATGACAACACAACACCTGACGGCTCCAATGCCAATTAGTTCATTACGATGCATAGCTCCGAACATGTTCACAAATTGCCCTGCCAATCCACACGCACAAGTACAGGAGGCAGCGCAGGTGGTAGGTAGTGGATTGTGCTGTGCAATGCTATTACTTGATTGTCAACAAACTTTCCTTCGATGAACTTGCACCTCCCCAACATGCCCAGTTCTAAATGCCTACTTAGTGTATTCTACATCACCCCTTGCTTCCCTTACTGACTAGCGGTTCTTTCGTGCTTTGGGGATGTGAGCACCCTGCCTGAGTTATTTGTGCTGCAACTGTGCTTGTAGGCAACCCTCTACCGCCAGTTGTCCACCTAACACTCACACAAGATCAGTTGAAGAAAGGGAGGATCATCATCGTTGGGGACATCCATGGGTGTTATGACGAATTCTCGGAATTGTTGAGGCGCTGCAACTTCAATAAAAATGAGGACAACCTTATTTTAGTCGGAGACATAGTGAACAAGGGCCCATATTCAACAAAGGTGCACTGATCATGGCATGGTCTTTTTTGTTTCAAGGCAGTAAGCAGTACAGCACGCCTGTGTGGTAACCAACATGCATGAACTGCTCCGACAGGAAGAAAATACTTTAGTCATAAACCTGAACGCTGCAACAAATCAGCTAATTACTGTGTCACAGGTTGAAAAGCAGAAGGAATGGTACTGCAAGCAGGACTGTGACCTCCCAGTGCATCCATTCTGCTGTGTCATGAGCTGCACTCCCGCGTGCTGTTGGGGCAACAGGGCTCAGAGCCACCAATACTTTGTGCTGCTGTATGCAAGTTGCTTTGTGGAACAAATCGCTGCTTGCTGTGGCTATGGATGCAAGCTGACTGGTTGTGTTGTTGTTGCCACAGTAGGAAAGACTCAGAATCTTGCACAGCAGTCACCTGCATAAAGATATAGGATTTTCAACGTACGCAACTGTGCAGCACTTGGGCTCCTGATGTAGAGTTTGAGTTACCAACTGGGGACTGAAGAGGTATGGCAGTGTCATCCACAGGTTGCGGCTATTGAGTGTTTCAGTATGTTTTTCATGGCCTTGCACATCTGCTGAATTTGCACAGGTTATATCCAAGGCACAAGAATTGAATGCATGGGCAGTGCGGGGCAATCATGACGATGCGGCACTACATTGGTATCATCTTTGGAAGCAAGGTGAAGCCTTCAAGTGGGACTGGGTTCGGCAAATGACGCCGTCTCAAGCAGACTACCTGGATTCGCTTCCATTCACTTTGACAATACCCCACCGTAGGGTGCTTGTGGTCCATGCTGGTGTTGTTCCCGGAAATCCTCTTCCTGAGCAAAATTTGGTAGACCTGTACCAGATGCGGGACCTAAAAAAGAAGGGACACAGTTGGGTTGCACTGGAGTTGGCAACAGCTGACACAACGGCATGGGCGAAGGAATGGAAAGGCAAGTGTGGTAAGGAATTTGCGGGATTCGGCACTGTCCAGGATGAGAATGTGCGGCGGGGTGGGGGGTGGAGGGGGGAAGGGCCAATTGTGCATGTGTTGATTGTTGGATATCAGCTCACATGTTTTTCTTGGGCAGGGCCAGAGTCAGTATGGGCAGCAGAAAATTGTGCAGAAGGCTCCAATGACACGACTACTGTCACGGGAGGCGGTATCACACTGAGCACGCATACAGCTGCTCATAATGAAAACTTGGCGGAACATGTGCAATGTGGGTATTGCAAATCTATGTGCCCATGACCTGACCTTGACCTCTCCGTGCTGCATTATGCAGGCGAGTACCACATTTTCTTTGGGCATGACGCCAAGAGGAGGCTACAGTTCCACCGCTATGCCACAGGACTTGATAGCGGCTGCTGCTATGGTGGGCAATTGACAGCCTGCATTCTACCGAGGACTGCGGATGTTTCTAGAGACAGCTCTGCGGGAGCCACTAGAGAAGCATTAGGTGCCGAAATGGTTTCAGTGCAAGCGAAAAAGGACTACAGAGAAAAGTAGGAGGGTTGAGGGAATCACGACGGGGTGATTGGTTACTGTGTACAATTGAATTTTTTTGTGTTGCCAGATCGGTGGAGGTGCTGTGCAAGCTTCCACGGTCCTGCTGGTTTGTGGCAACGTGAAACGGAATGTGTGGACGTCTCTGGACGTCTGTATCTGTGGCCTCCTAAGACAGCTGCAGTGCAGCGTCAAATAAATTGTGAAGCGTTGAGTGCCACTCTTCTGGACGGAGGAACAGGAGCAATCTCGCGATTCTTTTCAGCGTATTCACGGATTTCCATTGTCCTTGCCGAAATGAAAAATCGTGCACCCGTTGCGTGCTTGGGACCGTTGCCATATGTGACCTATCTGGTGAAAGGGTTTTTGCTTTGCCATTTGACAAATGTAATCAAGACGAGGATTGTGATGTGCAGTGCGCATTGTGCACCCATTGACTCAATAGCCCTGGAGCGATTCGATGCGGTTTGCTGAGCTTGAGTGCGACAGCCCTTTCAGCGACGAGGCAATGCAGGCCAGAACGCTGAGGGGATCAGAAACATTGCCCACGCACGTCAGAATCCGGCTAAGGCGGGGGTCAAGTACTGTCCACGAGCCACCTTCACTGCAGGGCAGGGGTTGCTGAAGGCTGGAAGCCGCGGTCTCTGGAACTCACACGCACCGCGGCCCTGCATCAGTGCATACGCAAAAGGCGCATCTGAAGTTTGGGCTATCTTTTAACAGTGTAGTACAAGACATTGGTGCAACACGATTGGCGCTCAATCTGGCAATGTTTCGCATTCATCCGTTATACATATCGAAGCATTGACGTAGCTGCCAGTCATCTACCTTGGCCTGGAAAGGCAGCTTCAATGATTTGTTCGATGAGCTCCCAAGGCAATAAACACAGGATCAACGAGTTCCAGCAGAGGTATTGATAACAGCGCATTGAAATGAAGGTGCTGCCTTTTGTCACGATTTTAGGTGCCTGGCGTTCTGTGTCAGCATGTGATCAAACGATTTGTAAGGTTGTGACATGGACACGATGAGCCGATTCTCAAGGCAATTATTTCCTTTACAATATACTATTTCTTTCACTGCTATGGCACACGCCGAAGCCAATCAAGTGCTTTTCGACACAGCGGTGCAAAGCACGCTTTACTGCTGTCCCCGCCCACCAACTGGCAAACACACTTCTGTCAGTGTACTATCATGTACAGCACTTCTCGCAAATTACAAAATAATGGATTCTGGATTTCCTTCGTGTTGTGCATTGAATTTCAAATTCATTGAACAAATCGTGGACGCCGCTTTGCTCCGACAAAATAGGATCTGGCTGCTGCACGTTTGGCGTGCTATGCAGAATTTCGTGATGGGGATGTCAAGCAGGGCGTAACTACGCCCAACCGACCCCCTCTTGTTCTTCGAACAGCGCGATCATCTGTTGGACGCGCATATTGCGCTGCACACATAGCACCGGGCAAGCAAAGCATGTTCTACGCTTGAAAATTCAGAATTTGGCACATGGCAATATCGAAATACTGAACGGCGCAAAAGACGCAGATGCACCTCGTCCTGTCCTATCTGACAAGCTTAGCAGCTAAGTTGTCACATCAGCCACTGCTCAAGAACCTGACTGCCAGGTAGGCAACATGCCCGATGCTTCATCTAATGGTGGCAGTGGTTACTCCAGAGTATGTAAGCGTCCTTCAGGCCACACGGCACCCAAATCCTTGCCACCAAAACCTGCTTCCACCAGTCAACGGCGTGTGTGCACCTCCCCGCTTTGTCCGTTGTTTGTCCTAACCCGAGGCCTGCACCCGAAGTATTTCCGTCCGAGGGTCAGTGCGATGCTGGGTCAAAATAAGTTGACCGGTCTCACCGGCCCTGGGCCTCAAGGCTCCCGCTCTGCGCCTCCAAAGCATATCGAAATGGAAGAAAACTCCGCGCCAAGTAAGCACCCAACTACCACGCCCCGCCACCGCACACCGGGCCAGTGGCACGAGCTTGTGTGGTTTGTGATGTTGCTTGGAATGTGCTGAAGTGCCGCGGCTCAATGATTGTTTGCTCACTTTTCTTGTAGATGCTCCCACCAACAGCAACACAATGCGCACAAGCACGTGGGGTGTGGAGGAGGAGGGCGTGTTCTTCGACGCACTGAAGGCCACAAGAGACGCGGGCCCATTGGGATGTTCTAGCATCATAGCGAAGAAGCTCGGGACCAAAACTGCCAAGCAGGTGAGCCACAAAACCACATCTTGCATTGCTGGCATGTGGCCTCCTTGGGCACTGCGGGGGCCAAAAGCTGAACCACATGCCTCTGTGCTCATAAGTGCTCGATATTCCCGTCTGTTCCGAGCCATCCCTAAAAATCGTATGCTCGGTAAGATCGGCAAAATTCTGGCCGGGTTCGACGTGCTTATTGCCGGCCGACTGCAGCGATCCCAGACCGGGCGGCCTTTCACGGCAATGCCTATCTCTGTTTGCCAAAAATGCGTCTAAGTGCGGCCGCAAGATGTCATGAGGCATTGGTCACTGCGCGCAAATCCGCACGGATGCTTTTATACGGCTCTTGTTGAATTGCTGGATTCACTACGGAATCCACCACCTGCATTATTCGATTTTTACGGGATGATCCTCCGAAAGTTTTCTTTTGAACTATGTTTTGCACCCAGGGCATAACTTTGAAAATAGGAAAGATAATTGCCTGCAGGTTCGAGAGTATTACCATCGCACGGTTCGCCGCTTGCTTGCGCTCGCCGGGAAGCACATCAATTTTGATCCCGACGATCATCAACAGCTCTACGGCGCATTAGCGAAACTGTGGAAAGTGGTGAGTGCGCAAAAAGCTCTTGGATTCATAGCTTCCTGTGTCCCAGATTTTGGTCGAAAACAGTGTTTTGTTCAGGTCAGGCGCACAGCAAAACCGAACCTGTGGCGTCGGTGGAAATTTCTTTGTAGCAGAATGAATACATGCCATATAGTGAACACTCCCCTCCCTGAGCAATAGAAGCAAGAAGCACGCACAGAAGCACGCACATAAGCAAGATATTCCGGGGTATGTCAATAGCAGAAATGTGAAAACGTCCGTGAACCGAACGTAATCCAGCGCACCTAGGGACTTTCCACCATTTCCAGCTGACAACAAAGCGAAGAGGCAAATGCCACTCCTCATTGCCCGCACATAACAATGCCATTTTCAGATCCATCCTATCGTCAGTTCTAAGCTTGGTGAACACCAGGATAAGAGAACACACTATTTTGAATTACGCCCGATCAGCGTCTAATGCACGTTAATCTCCCCTCCCGTTGAATTCATGGACCGCACGCATGCAATCTTGTGTGTTTTTGCCTTCAAGCTCCATGTCGTCGGCAATGGGCAAGTATCTGTGGCTGCGATACTTGGAACACCCCGCACGAAGAAAATCGTGCGTAGGCGTCTCCAGAAGGTATGTTGGTAGGCATGTATGTTAGGTATGTAGGGTGTGTACGTAAGGTATGTACACGCTTTTTGTGGCTGCTGTCGCCAAGTCTCAACTACTCGTTTTCGATGGAAGACAGAAATTGCTTAGAGGCGATCTATGCGCCTGTTGCACCTTGGACGCCATTGAAAATACACTTCAAGAACCCATTCGGGCGAGTGAGCCACGAATTTAGTACTTTGCAAACCCAGCAGCTTCCTTGTACGTTGATTTCATATTGACAGACAGTGTTTTGTGGCTGCATTTCCTGTACTGATAAGCTTATGGGCAGGAGTGAATCGACGTCGCTTGGCGGCTGCTGAAAACTGGTTCGTCTGCATATTCCCAGGAATTGGCCGCCTGCGCCCATGCTGGTGGAGGAGCAACCACAGGTGGGAGTCGCAAAACGTTGTTCTATACATTTTTCCGGATCATCTGGGGTGCTTTAGTTTCCACCGCCATTTGGCGGCGCTGATGAAGCGGCCTCTGCACTCAACGATGCCGGATCTCACAGCAGCACGACTCCCCAGTTGAACCACTTCCTGGCAGTGGTCTAGGTTGCTCTGGACAAGCCCAGAAGATGCCAAAATGGGCTGCCCCTCCGCGCTCTCGGAGGTAGGGCGGATTAGTATTGTGCTTTGCCACACAAAGGCACATGCTGGCACGAATATGCAAGATAAGTGGACAGAATGTGCTTGCGCAGAATGTGGACAAAATCGCTGCCATAGGCGATATGTTTCCACATTCCCTCATATAAATGCGGGATGAACGGCATGGAAGAGCCGGCGATTCCGAATTGATGAGGCTTGTTTGGGATTAATTGCCGATCTGGGGAATTTCTTGCATGGAACGCGTTGCGGACTAGGCCGATGCTATGATTTTGAAGATGTGCAGATGCTTGCACATAAATTGCCAATTCAATATTCACAAAGGAATAGACGCACGTGTTATCTATACACTGGCCATTTTCAAATGCAGCAATGCAGCTTCGCAAGGGCCCCAACTTGGGGCCCCCAATTGCTGCAATTGAACGTGCATCATATTTGAAAACATCCAAGAGTCAACCCACTCCGAAATACAATCGGCATTGCAATGATTTCCATCAAGCAAATGAAAATGAACATGCCGCACAGCTTGACGGTGCTTCTCTGTGCGTCGACCGCCAGGTGCACTGTTTCAACAATGGAAGCACGTTATGCGTGTGCCGAGACATGGAACTCGTTTCCACACCCTCAGAAAAGAGATTTGGAGATCGATTATGAAACAGTTGATCTCCATTTGGTGCCTCATCCCTCCAACCTCCCATCCCACACGGCCTCGCAGTATGGACAGCAATCGGATCTCCGCCTGCCAGTCGGGTAGCAATGCTGTCGCACATTTTTGCGTAGCGCGCTTTCGCACATCAAAGCAGCGAGGCACTTGCAATCTCACTTATAAGATCCTAAATGGGAAACCGCTGGAACTGCATCCGCGCCGCGATAGATACCTTGTCCACTCATTGACACTGACAGGGAGCGTAAGAGGGTGTAACAAAAATTGGATGCGCTGTCGTGGTCCGTCACA